TTTTTTTTTTTTTTTTTTTTTTTTTTTTTTTTTTTTTTTTTTTTAATAGAGTCTCACCTCGCTGCCCAGGCTGGTCTTGAACTCCTTGGCCCAAGTGATCCTCCTGCCTTAGCATCCCAACGCTGGGATTGCTGGCCTGAGCCACTGTGCCTGGCCCGTAGTTTTGCTATCTGAGAGAGAAAAAACTTCCTGTCTTAGCACAGTATAAAACAATGGTTGTGACAGTACTGCTAACTCATATAAAGTTAATGATTGTGATTGCTTTTTAATTTTGTAATTCTTGTTTTCCTCTTTTTCTAAGAATCGGTGTCAAAAGAGATATATTTTTTTTCTTCAAAATCATGTGAAAATTTTGCATTGCCCCATATTGTTTTCACCTATTAAGTGAGCAGACTGTTTGCCTTTATACAGAGAGGTCCTTAACCCTCTGGAGTCTGGAAAAATCATGTTGGTAGCCTGGAATGCTATTAATATTTTTTTAACTCTCCTGTGTAATCAATTTATGATTCCCTATGTCCTCAATATGGCCAGGTATGCAGCTTTTGCTTGCTGTTTTTCCTTGTAGAAGTTGATTTTTAAGTGGCCAGTTTAAAAATGCCTTCAGTTTTGGACTGCGCGCCTCAAGTGAATACCACTTCCCTATCTCAAGAAGGCACAGCCTAGGGGTTTGTTTTCTAGTGCAATGATTTGTGTAGTGCCCTGATGTCATGTACATAAGACATTCTGTTCAACAGTGCATTATTTGTCAGAACAGTTACTTATCATTTGTGTTCAAGAAGTGCACACAATGTATTCAGGACCATCACAACTATCCATTAGCACTTCATTTCTGGTTCTGCCTCAAATCACTGCTACCTATGGACATTTAGCTATGTTTGTTGAAAAGGCAAGCTCTTGCTGAAAATAGTACTGTCTGAGGTTGGAATCTAAAATGCTGCTGTTAGCTGATTGCAAAAACATAGAACACAACAGTTTTAGCAGTAGAATTAAATGTGTGAATGAATTGAATAAAAGGTGAAAACAGCACTTTTCTCTCTTAGCCATGGTTCTCTGCAATTGGGGGCCATTAAATACAGTTTATAGAGTCCTATCACTACTTCTTTGTAAGAGCTGCAGTGACCTCGAGTTCCCTTTGTGTTTCTCTTTCATTTCCACAGACATCTATATTGATAAAGGAGTCCCTTAAATAAAACTTATGAAAATGCCTTATAAGATCAAAACACATGCAAGGAGCCAATATTTGAGAACTTGAAAAGAAATTAAATACTAAATTTGGATTATTCCCATGCTTAATTAAAGTAGAATGGGTTGGAGATAGAAGTAGATCTTGTAATCAGAAAAACTTGACACTTTCAGCATGTGAATGCATGTTACAACCCAGATTAGCTGTGTAGCATTCTTTTAAAAATTCACCCTTTCCTCTTCTTGACTTATCCTAATATGTACACATTTTCTGACTTCCAGTATATCGAACATGACTTAGCTTCCTTTAAACTTTATTACCTTTCACAAGTTTCATGTAGAATTCTTTCAGCTTAGATGAGTAAGGTAGAATCAGTGAGAAAGCTCTAGATTGTAACTATCAATTATAACCAATATAGTAAATTCAGCATGTTTTCCACATTGCTTATCTTCTCAAAAGTTAATTGCACTTTCCACCCTCAAATGTTGGCAGAACTTGAGCTTTTTACTCTTTGCAACATATCAGACATCAAAAATGTCTATACTTCAAGAAGGAAACTAAGGCAGAAGGAATTGGATAATTTAGTTGTGTCAGAGAGAGTTAAACTTCCTTTTTATTGAGGTAATGATCATCAGTGCTCATCTGTAGCCTCTGACACATTTTTGGAGAACATTACTAATACTCTGGATATAATTTAAAGTGTTTGCTATAGTGAAAAGATCTCCAGCCTGGTGGCTGGAGTTGCAGCAGTGTTA